CCCAGCAGGTTTAGGATCTGGGAGGCCCAAGGCTGAGGTGAGTCAGGGGGTGGAGGTGACACTCCCTCCCTGCCCCCCATGGGAGCTGGCCTCAGCTCCACCGTGCGAGCCTGGCACGAGCCACCTGGCATCGCCGCAAGGCCCCCTGAATGTTCCTCCATGTCCCTGTAAGGGGGCGCGCCCCACAATTTGAAAACCTCTGCTGTAGTATTTTACCTTTCATAGCTGGTTCAGGTACCCCATCACCACAGTGCCCTTGGCACCCTATCCCCCACCAGTCTCAAAGTCGCCTAGAAATGAAGGTAGCTTGTTTAAATCATTAATAAAAATGGTACAATGGGCCTGTCTCAATACTGAGCCCCATGAAACTCCCCTCCTCCTGAGCCTCCAGGAGGGACACCCTACATTCCAGCCCTCTAACCAGCCCTTTACCTATCTGAGTGCTGTAGCATCACACCCAGGGTGTGGCTGTGTGACCTAGACTATCGTGTGCGGCTTTAGGTGATTCTTTGGGCAGCCCAGGTGATGATGATTGATGCTGACTATTATTTTATTTTATTAGCTGAGGGAAGCTGTCAGAAGCCCTGCCAGGTGGGGCCGTCATACTGGGTGCAGGACAGACCCAGTCCCTGCTCCAGCGAGCTCGGGGGCATGGTGTAAGGAAATGGGGCATTCCAGGCTGGCAGAGGGGGCCAGGTGAAACGCGAGCAAAGCCAGTAAGTCGCTAGGGGCGGTGTTCTGCAGGGCTTTGAATGGGAGGCTGAAGAGCCTCGTGGTGGAGGAGGGGGAGGATGCCAGGAGGAGGGTGACCTGGAGAGGCAGGGATGAGGAATCAGGTGGCAGCACATGGAACTAATCGAATGCATTGGCAAGTTTTCTAGGAGCAAATAATTAAATCGTCAATCAAAAATGTAGGTTTTGGGGTTTGTTTTTTGTTTTTTTGTATCCTTAACATAGGAGGGAGAGGAAGGCAAAGCCCTGGGGGAGTGAAAGAGTCCTGGTTGGGATAGGAGGCCTCGGGGAGGGAGGGGATTGAGAGCTCTCCATCAGGAGAGGTGTAAGTTAGGGGCCTGGATGACTGTAATTTATTTCCTTTTCATTATATGGTTGGCTTTGATCATGTCCTTCCAGAGTTTGGGGTGGCAGGGATGCTGGTTTCATTCTGTTGTGATCCATGAGCACAGCAGGGATTGCTGCACTGGGCGAGCTGGTGCAGGTCTGCTTTGTTCTTTCTCCACCAGTTTTGTGGGCTGCAGCAGATGCTCACAGTTGTTTCTCTTTTATTTTTCATTCCTTGTTTCCTTACTCTAGGAATTTTCCCCACTGCACTCTCCGCTGGCAAAGTCTCACTCCCATTTTGTAGGAACACAGGAATTCCAAGCCTGCCTCACAACTGAGGTCCATCTAATCCAGTGCCCTTTGGCTGACAGTGGCCAGCACTGTGCTTCAGAGGAAGCCACAGAAACCCCACAGTGGCAGCTGCGGAATACTCTGTACCCATGAATGTCATCCTGATCCCTCAAAGTCTGAGATCGGCATCAGCCCTGAACCAGAAGGGTGTATCTCCTGGGGTTCTCTTTCTTCCAAAACTTTTCTTTTAGCATTAACTATTGTGACTCTGGATGCTCTTGTAATACCGATACACGTCTAGTCCTTTGAATCTTGCTAAATTCTTGGCTTCAATAACTTCCTGTGGCAGTGAGTTCCACAGTTTAATTATGTATTGTGTGAAAAAGTATTTCCTTTTCTCAGTTTTGAATTTGCTGCCTTTCAATATTATCGAATGCTCCCCTTGTTCTCATTATGTGCCCTCAATCTATCATCTCTACACCATTAATTATTACATCTTTTTATTATGTCCCCAGTGTTGCCAACTCCGGTGATTTTTTTTTTTTTTGTGAGTGTCCCAATATTTGGTATTCTTCTTAAAGGCCCAAGATCTAGAGTTGGTTAATTGTGTGGGAATCTCAGCTTTCATTAAAATGTACATTTCTAGCAGCCCTCCTGGTTGCCGAGAAAAGCTTGAAAATGATCTTGGTGTAACCTAAAGCAGCATTTTTCAAACTTCGGGTTGTGACCCAGTACTGGGTCATGGTCTGTCAGGCACTGGGCTGCTCTGGTCAGCACCGCCGACCAGGACGTTAAAAGTCCCATTGGTGGTGCTGCCTGGCTAAGGCAGGCTAGTGCCTACCTGTTTCGACACTGAGCTGTGCCCCGGAAGCAGCCAGCAGCGGGTCCAGCTTCTAGGCAGGGTGGCCATGGGACTCTGCACGCTGCCCCCTGCCCTGAGCACCGGCTCTGGGGAACTGGGGGGGGCGGTGCCTGTGGGTGAGAGTCGTGCAAAGCCGCTTGCTCACCTCCGCCTAGGAGCCGGACCTGCTGCTGGCCACTTCCGGGGCGCAGCGCAGTCCGCGGTGCCAGGACAGGCGGGAAGTCTGCCTCTGCACCCTGGCTGTGCCACTGACCAGGAGCCACCGGAGGTAAGTCCTCACCCCAATCACCTGCCCCAGCCCTGAGCCCCCCAAACCTGGAACCCCTTCCTGCACCCCAAATCCCTCATCCCCGGCCCCAGCCCAGAGCCCCTCCCACACTCTGAACCCCTCACCCCCAGCTATGTTGGGTCGTGGGCATCAACAATATTCTTCAACTGGGTCCCCAGAAAAAAAGTTTGAAAACCACTCACCTAAAGGCTCAGACATCAACAGCCGTCAGGCAAGTTGCAAGTTATGGCAACTTCTCTGGCCAGAGTAGAGCATGTACTGTCTATGCCGCCATCCACTTCTGCCTCTAGCTCCATCCCCAATATGCCCCCCGCATGAGGGCTTGTATCTTGCATGGGGGAGAGGCAGTGCCTGGGCTGGGGCACTCTCCCCCAGCTGGCTGGTTACAGCAGTGTACAGGGCCAGGATTCATCCTCCTACTTTTAAGTTTGCAGAATCTGCAGCACTGAATGCCACAGAGGGCAAGGCCCTTGCAGCAGAATTTGCTGTGGATCACACAAGCTTCTTTGCATGCAGCTATATTGACACTCCAGGTAGGGTTGTCAATTTTGGTTGGATGTATTCCTGGAGGTTTTATCACATGACATAATCTTTAATTAAAGATGAATCTTTAATTCCTGGACACTCCAGGACAATTCTGGAGGGTTGGCAACCTTCCCTCAGGTCTGAGAATCTTGCCCAAGTTCATAATCATCCTCATTCTTTGTGGTTCACTGAACTCTCCCACTTATTTCCCTTACTCCAGTGTGCTAAAAAAGCTTTTATTCTCCAGTAGCCTACATATTTAGACACTTTTCTTATTTCATAACAACTAAGCACCTCTCCCACAATAATTTACCGACACAACACCCGGGGATGGGGCAGGATTTCACAGACAGGGAGCTGAGGTGCAGCGAGATAGGATTGCTTGCCCAAGGTCACGGGAAGGCTGTAGTAAAGCCAAGGATTGAATTTAGTCAATTTCTTTACCACAAGACCATCCTTCCTTTCTACTCTCAGCAACAAGTGACCTGAGAAGAGCCCTCCTGGGATGTCATTATGAGAAAAAATGGCTTGATTCATAGGTGGCCAGACACGAAACTGAGCGCCCTGGGTGGCCTGGCTGGATCCCAGACACATGAAGGGTGGTACAGCGAGTTTGAGTGGGAAACAGGCCCCTGTCGCACATAACTCTGGCCAGGCAAGAGGCAGGATGTGCATCTCAGACAATAGGCTGTTGTGAGTTGGCCCCATGCCTTATGGCCCCAGAATGCATGCAGCTGTGCCTGCCCCAGCAGTTCCAGCTGTGCCCTTCTGTTCCTTACACCCCCTTCATGTCCCTGTTCCTGCACGGCTGGATAACAAGCACTGGGTTTCTGTGGCGACTATGCAGGTGGGAGCCCACCAAGCCACAGAGGCACCAGTGACTTGCATCCTCTCACGAGGCTAATTCGCACCGGGAGTTGTCTGTAGCTGCAGTCTGCATATCAGGGATGGAGTTGGTCCCAGTGGGTCTCTAGCGGTTTTGCCTCAGTGACTGACGCGGTTGCAAACTCAAAGGCAATTTGCCTTTATACATGTGGTCTGTGTGGCTTTGGGTCCAGGACTGGGGAGGGAGGGAGGCTGCCTCCATGCGATTTTATTCACATGCTCCAGAACAGTTAAAAGCCATTAATCTAAGAGGCAGAGTGGTCTAGTGGTCAGAGTAGGGGGAACCAGCCATCAGGACTCCTGGGTTCTACCCTTGGCTCTGCCACTGACTCTGTGACTTTGGACAAGCCACTACCTGCCTCTGTAACATGGGGTGATGATAGCGACCTGGTTCCTGGGGAGTGGGTGGTTGGAAGAACTGAGAGTGGCAAAGCATGTTGGGACCTTTGGATGAACGGTTCCAATCAGAGCATGCCCTGCCTGTAGGGGATTGAGCCGGGCGTTCGAGTTCCTGCTGTGGGACCCCTTGAGCTGACTCACCAGGGCATGGTAACCAGTGCTTTTCTACTCATCCCCCGCCCCCACTGCCGCTCTTGGACACTCGCCCCACTTAAGCGTTGCCTCCAACTCCGGCCAAACAGCAAAGGCTGGTTAGTGAGTGCGAAGCTTGAAGAGCAGCAGGCTCCTGCCCTACCTCAGGCTTCATTAGCCCAGCTCTCGCTGCACTGGGCAATGCACTGGAGTTTGCTGCTTTGTGAAGGAGTTTCTAAGTGAGACCTGATCTGCAAAGGCACCTGCACCCCCCTGGGCTTGGCTCCTGGCTGATGGAGACCCTCTTCCCATACGCTGTGCAATGGCTGAGATCGGCGGGCATGGCCTGGTGTACTGGTTGTGGGCAGGGGTACGCCACAGTGTGTAAATCCCACCTGGTCACTGGACTAATTGCCTGACTCTGCTCAGCTCCTTGCATGTCAGCTTAGGGATCCGCACACTACCTAGACCTAGCAGGATGGCCACTGTTTAAAATAAAAACCGACACGCCCATTGTGCTCAATGAGATCTGAGTTCCCTCCTCCTTTGTGCCCACAGTTCCACCCGCTGTCTCTGTGTAACACCAGTGAGGACGAGCACACCGGCTCCGGCTTTGTCACTATTGTCAAACTCGAGCGGCCCGATCGAGATCTGCACCCCTGTCTGTCATTGGCCAACAAGGTATGTGCATGAACGCGCTGAACGGAAACATCCTGGGCCATGGGGACTAAAGGGACAGGCAGAAATAAAGGGGAATGCAGGAGGAGTCTCTGTTCCCTTGGCAGGAGGACTGACCTGGTTTCTGTTCCCATTGGAGGGGCTCTGAGCCAGTCTGTTCCTGCACCTGGGGGCCCGGCTGGCCCTGGTATCCAAACTTCATGGCACTTGGGACTGAACAGCCTTGTAAACAGTGTAACGTTATCATAATCTGAGCCTTGGTTCTTCAGGACAGGTGACCCTTAGCCAGCATCACAAGGAAACCCTGCTCCTCTCCACAGCTTACCCACTCCCCACCCGCTGCTGCCCTTCCACACACGCTGTGTGCTCTCCTGACCGCTCCAGTCAGTTATATGTGCCCAACAGACATCAGCCACAGCCACTAGGGCCACACTTCGCAGCGCAAGGATTGTATTTTGCACCATTTATCCTGTGCACTGAATGAGGTAAGATCCCCGGAAAACATCATCTGTGGCCCTGTAATGAAAGCTGGTATTGCAATTCTTTAGAGAGAAAGGCAGAGCAAGACTCAGGGGCTGGAAGTTAAAGCCAGACAAATCCAAATTGGAAATAAGGCACAAATACTTAACAATGAGGGGGATTAACTGTTGGAACCAGTTTGGAAAGGAAGTGGTGGATTCTGTTTCTTGGTGTCTTCTAATCCAAACTGGACGACTTTCTGGAAGATGCTTCAGCCAAACACAAACGATTGGGCCCTATACAGGGGCAACGGGGTGAAACGTGATGGCCTGTACTATACAGGAGGTCAGACCACAGGCGCTAGTGGTCCCCTCTGGCTTTAAACTCTGTGAATCCAGCATACACACAAGAGGGCAGCGTTAAGGCAGAACACGGAGCTTTATGGCAGCATTTTCTTGAATTTTCAATGGTTCTGTTTGGAACAGTATTCTTGCCAGCAAGTTAAAGAAGTATGGGCTGGATGAATGGAGTATAAGGTGGATAGAAAGCTGGCTAGATTGTCGGGCTCAACGGGTAGTGATCAATGTCTCCATGTCTAGTTGGCAGCCGGTTTCAAGCGGAGTGCCCCAAGGGTCGGTCCTGGGGCCGGTTTTGTTCAATATCTTCATTAATTATCTGGAGGATGGCATGGACTGCACTCTCAGCAAGTTTGCAGATGACACTAAACTGGGAGGAGTGGTAGATACGCTGGAGGGTAGGGATAGGATACAGAGGGACCTAGACAAATTAGAAGATTGGGCCAAAAGAAACCTGATGAGGTTCAACAAGGACAAGTGCAGAGTCCTGCACTTAGGATGGAAAATCCCATTCACTGTTACAGACTAGGGACCGAATGGCTAGGAAGCAGTTCTGCAGAAAAGGACCTAGGGGTTACAGTGGACGAGAAGCTGGATATGAGTCAACAGTGTGCCCTTGTTGCCAAGAAGGCTAACAGCATTTTGGGCTGTATAAGTAGGGGCATTGCCAGCAGATCGAGGGATGTGATCGTTCCCCTCTATTCGACATTGGTGAGGCCTCATCTGGAGTACTGTGTCCAGTTTTGGGCCCCACACTACAAGAAGGATGTGGAAAAATTGGAAAGAGTCCAGCAGAGGACAACAAAAATGATTAGGGGGCTGGAGCACATGACTTATGAGGAGAGGCTGAGGGAACTGGGATTGTTTAGTCTTCAGAAGAGAAGAATGAGGGGGGATTTGATAGCTGCTTTCAACTACCTGAAAGGGGGTTCCAAAGAGGATGGATCTAGACTGTTCTCAGTGGTGGCAGATGACAGAACAAGGAGCAATGGTCTCAAGTTGCAATGGGGGAGGTCTAGGTTGGATATTAGGAAACACTATTTTACTAAGAGGGTGGTGAAGCACTGGAATGGGTTACCTAGGGAGGTGGTGGAATCTCCTTCCTTAGAGGTTTTAAGGTCAGGCTTGACAAAGCCCTGGCTGGGATGATTTAGTGGTCCTGCTTTGAGCAGGGGGTTGGACTAGATGACCTCCTGAGGTCCCTTCCAACCCTGATATTGTATAATTCTATGAACCTTGACAGCTTCCTCACTTAGTTTTTTATACGGAATTTATTCTTATTTCACATTTGTGCACAGCATTGCAGGCGAGCTTTCCAAGGTGAGGGAAATGAAGGGCCTGCACAGAGAGCTTGCAATGTAGAGTAGGGTTACCATATTTCAGCAAGCAAAAAAGAGGACGGGAGGAGCCCCGCCCTAGCCCC